TACGGAGCGAGAGAACCTGCTCGCGCGAGCCTGCGTGTAGGCCGCGCGCGCTCGCGCGCCCGCCTGCGCCTCGCATGTGCGTCCGCTTGCGTCCGCCCTCCCGCGTCTGCGTGCGTGTCTGTCCGCGCGCGCCCGCGCGCCCGCCCGCGCGCGCCCACGCGGCCGGTCGCGTGTGCTCGCACGCCTGTTCGTGCGCCCAGCCACGTATCTGAGCGTGTGCGGGAGCGTGCAGTGCCGCGACCTCGGCGCGACCTGGAAAAGCTGGCGCGCCTGGCCATCGAACGGCCTGTCGAACGGCCTGTCGCTGGAAAGACACCTGGCCGCATGTGTATCCGGCTCCGACACGGGCCGGCCGCGCCATGTGCGCCCAGATTCCTGGTACCCGCACGCGCACGCGCACGGGCGATTCTGAGTTGTCGGGGTTCGGTCATGGCGCTCTCCGCGCGAAGGCAGGTGGAATGACGCGGCGATGCTGGTGCCCTTGCTCCTGCATCGTGACAGGACACCCTAGATTCACGATAGGCTACGGCGAGGCAGCCCTATGCTTTTTTTTCACGATTGCGAATCGCGCGCATGCAAGTAGTGGAGCGCGCTCGGTGAACCCAGCTTCCTGGTACCCCCCTCCGATGGGTTGGCAACGATAGGGGTGGACTGGCATACGGGGGGATGCATTGACCTGGAATCGGCGATACATCGCCTACAGATCGGCGATGGGCCCCCGATAATCCGCACCCTCCTGGGCAGGTCGGGGCTATCGGGCCCCTATAGGCGATCCATGGGCGATTGAGGATCGGTGCGCCCCCCTATGCCAATCCCCGCCGATCGATGCCCCTGGCCCAAAGATGCCGCTGTTATGCAACCATTTGGGTGTCCCAAAACCGTGCGGTGACAGACCCGGCGGTGACCTCGAAATCCGCAAAGACCTCACCGCACGGTCCGTCACCACACGCTTTTGGGACCCTGGAGGCTCCAGTCGCCCGAGGCATCCTCGGAGAACGACCCGAGTCCCAAAACCGTGCGGTGACCCCGAATCCCCACCGACTCACCACACGGTGTGGTCCCCACCCCGTTTGGGAGCCCCCGAAACCATGGACGCCCCCGCCGGCGCTGCCGCCCAGCGCCGGGGCGGCGCACGCCTGCCGCGTCGCAGTCCGATCTGGGGTTGCTCAAGGGGCACAAGGACACACAAATAGATACACACAAATAAAATGATTCCCAATATTTTCCCATATTTTCTGGGCTCTTGTCTTCCCGCCCAATTCCCATATTTTCCCATGTTTTCTTGGGGATCGACGATTAATTGTGTCTGTGTGTTCTTTCCCCTGCTGGGTTGCCCTCGGGCTGCGGGGCCGCCGAGCACCCGCCTTCCCGCGGCCGCCGTCCAGAGTCTCCCTCGCGGTCCTGACTTGGCGGCGCGCACAAAGGGGTGGGGGGAGGGGGGAGGGCTTCTTAGAAGCAGGCTGCTTCTTAGAAGGCGCCGGCCTTACATGTATAGATAAGGCCCGCGCCTTCTAAGAAGCAGGGGTGCTTCTAAGAAGCCCTCCCCACTCCCCCCACCCCCCTCTGCGCGTGGCTGACTGACCGCGGGGTGCCAATGGGGAGAGCCGCGGCGGGACGGGGCCCGTTTCAGGGGGATTCCCCTTCGCCGCCTCCTCCTCCTGCGGCTCCTCCTCCCCCTTCACTCTGCAGGGGCGCCCCCCGGATGGCAGGCTCGTGCTGTGCTGGCTTTTCAGGGCAGGCGCTTATCGTATCGGGAAAGGGGGGCCGGTAGGGCCTGATGAGCAGGGGACTTCGGGCAGAAGGGTGGGTTGCAGCATCGCTGATGTATCTTAGATCTACTCTGGTCCTCATCCTCCTCCTACTCATCCCTGCGCCAGAGCCTGGCGGCATTCGAAAGACCAGCCGTTCTTCGAGCTTCGAGCTGCGGGCCTTCGGCTCCCCGAAGGGATGCGGCCCTCGATCCCTCCCGCTGGTAGCAAATAACCCACAGTTAACAAGAGAGGTGAGGGGAGACTTCAGATGACGAGCAGCTGCTGACCTGAAGGGGGGGGGGCGAGCGGGGGGAGACTGTCTGCGGCGGCCGGTGTGCGCGTGAAGATGGTGACCAAGCGTGTCTCCAGCCCCCTGGGGGGAGCTGAGACCAACCTCGGCTCGCCTCACCTGGTGTGCGGCAGCACCACCAGTCCTCCTTCTCCTCCTCCCCTTCCTCCACATCATCACCAACAACAACATTACCATCACCACCACCAACAGCATCGGAAAGAGCATGAACATCATCATCAGCATCAGCATCATCATCGGAGGCAGCAACAGGATCAGCACCAGCGTCATCGTCACCATCACCCCCCACCTTCACCATCACCCTCAGCATAACCATCAGCATCAGCATCATCAACATCACCATCATCACCATCATCATCATCACCATCATCACCATCATCACCATCATCATCATCACCATCGCCATCGCCATCACCATCATCACCACCATCATCACCAT